TACACAGACACACACAGACACATACACAACGCGCTAACCACTACACTACAATGCGTTACGCTTCCACACAGACACAGATACACACAAACACACACACAGACACAGATACACACAAACACACAGACACAGATACACACACAGACACATACACAGACACATACACAGACATACACACAGACATACACACAGACACACACACAGACACACACAGACAACAACAACAACAACAACCGCCATTCGCCACTAAGTGGCGGTGACGTCACCACGACGCTTGTGCCAGGCTATGTGCACCCTGAGGCCACGTGAAGTGTCGAACGCCCGCTGGCAGGAGGTCACGGGGCAGACCCAGGTGCCACGGGTCGACTGACTGAGATGACTGGCTGATGCACCACCTGTGCCCCCTACTGTGCCAACCTGCTGTGCTTTAGCCACCCGGCGCTCCGCTCGCTGTTGTGAGCGTCGCTCCTCCGCCCTCCGTTGTTGTTGGAGGGCGACTGCCTCCAACTGCCCAGTAGCATCCTTCACGAGCCTCCTCCACAGAGGCCGATCTTGACACCGCTGGTACCAGTCATCGGCAAGTCCACTCAGCTCCACGTCCTCCTGTACCACATCACTCCATCTCTTCTCTAGCCCGTGCCGCGCCCGCTTAGCCCCCTCAATCCGGCCAAACAAAAGCTGTTTCGGCATGCGGTGGCTGGGCATGCGGGCTACATGACCCAGCCATCGCAGCCTTGCCTGCCGGAGGAGCTCACCGATGGGACCCTGCCCAGATCTTTCAAGGATTTGTGAGCTCCTCACACAATCCAGTCTGGTTAAACCCAGGATGGATCGTAGGCAGGCCAGCCTAAATGTTTCTAACCGGCGAAGATGTTCCATTAGGGGGGTCCACGTTTCGCAAGCATAGAGAAGGGAGGGAATGACCGTGGCCGAGAAGACCTGAAGCTTAGTGCGGAGCGACAGACCAGGTAGCTTCCACACAGCGTTACGCAACCGATTGAAAAGATATTGCCGCTCGACTGATTCGGAGTGAGACCTCTGCTGTTAAACTGGAGCCAGTCATAAGCACACTGCCCAGGTATGGGAAACTCTCCACTCTCTCCACAACTGCCCCATCACCGATTGGGAGTTGTGGGGGTGGAGTGTCCGATGGTACAAAATACCCAGGCAGGTGCTTAGTTTTGGTGGGGCTGATGGTAAGGCCCCACCTCTTAGTGGCATGCTCCAGTCTCAGCAGCAGCGTCTCCAACTCCTCCTCTGACTGAGCAGCTATTACCAAGTCATCAGCATACATAACGTGGTTGAGCAATAGGGAGCCATCCCTTGACCGCACCCGGGCATCGATTAGCCTCCCATTATATCTGTACCATATGGAGATTCCCCCGGTACAGCTATTGAAGGCTTCACGAACTACGTGGTCAAAATAGATGTTAAATAATGTGGGAGCCAAAGGACATCCCTGTCGCACCCCAAGGTGTACAGGGAATGGCTCTGACTCCCGGCCACGTAGTTTTACCCGGGCCCGCTCACCATCATGAAGGTCCTTAATGATCGTGAGCAGAGGGTCAGGTACTCCAAAAGCACGAAGAACGACCCAGAGCCCAGGCCTACTGATGGTATCATAGGCCTTGACCAGGTCAATAAAGCAGAGATGTAGGTCTTGTTGGAATTCCCTACACCTCTGCTGTAGCAGACGGACAGAAAATATGGCATCTGTGCAGGACCGCCCTTTCCTGAAACCGCATTGGGGCTCCGCAAGCCTCTCCTCAGCGTGCCTGGCAAGGCGATGCTGAATAATCCTTGCCAGGACCTTTCCCGGCACACTGAGGAGTGAGATGCCCCTGTAGTTGTTACAGTCTGTGCGGTCCCCCTTCTTAAAAAGGGGGACCACCAGGGCATCCTTCCAATCCTGCGGAACCCGTCCAGTGGTCCAGACTGTTGTTATGATGTCATATAGGGCAGTCTGTGCACAAACGCCACCCTCCCTCAGCATTTCGCTTGGGAGATCATCTCTGCCCGCTGCCTTTCCTGGTCTCAGACTCCGGATCGCCTTCAATACTTCCTCAGCAGATGGCACCTCAGCCAGCCACTCACAGGGGGTGACTTCATCCAATATTTGAGGCACCGCAGCCTCAGCAGGGTCATCCTCACTTTGTGCCGCGATGTTTTCCTGGCTGAGGGATTTTCCCTCCCCCAGGACCTCACAGAAATGCTCAGCAAATCTGCGAACCTGTTCCTGGGGGTCGGAAATTGGATCACCGTTTTTTCCCCTAATGATGGTAATAGGTGTGGCGCTGCAGGTTACTTTTTTGATGGAGTTAAATAGAGATTTGTGATCACGGGCCACTGAGGCAGACTCCATCTCCTCAGCAACCCGCGACCACCACCCATCCTTGCAGCGCCTCACGGCTCTCCGAACCTCCGAGCGAAGGCTGCGGTAAGCCTCCTCATTCTCTGACGTGGGATTCTGTAGCCGATGACAGTGGGCCTGTCGCTTTTTCTCAACGATCCTGAACAACTCTTCTGTCATCCAGGGTGTCTGGGGAGGTCTGGACCGCGTACCCAAAGCAGCCATTGCAGCTGCATGAGTCACAGTCCTAAACCTCGCCCATTTACCCTCGACATCAGGAGGAGTCGGGGACAATGCCAATCCCAGCCGCAAGCGATGATGAAATTCTCGCTTGCAACTTTCATCAGATAACTGAGACCAGGCCACTTTAGGTTGGAATGGGGTCCTGGGTGTACACCCACCACCGGAGTGGAAGAATGGCAGGCGCATCTTACAGATGACTAGTCGATGGTCAGAGGGCAGATCAGCTCCACGGTAGGTCCTGGTGTCAAGGACATGGGCTCGCATTCGCTGGTCCGTCACTATGTAGTCCAGCAGATGTTCTTGCTTGGACCCGGCATGCATCCATGATGTTGTGTGGATGCGCCGATGCCGGAACAGCGTGTTGGTAATTACAAGCCCATGGGCTGCACAAAAATCTAGCAGCCTCCTACCGTTGTTATTGAGCTGATCTGGCCCATGCCCTCCAATCACTCCAGACCAGGTGCCAGTATCATGACCAACTCGGGCATTGAAGTCACCCAACATGATGACTCTATCCCGAGGGGCCACTTTAGCCAGCACCTGTGACAGGAGGTCATAGAAGGCATCTGACTCATCGGCTTTGCCTGCATCCCTCCACGGATGTTCATCTTCGGTGGGGGCATAAGTAACCACGACCACCATTCCTCGCCTCCGGTTGATGGGAAGGCGAGCCCAAAGTAGCCTGGGGCTTACAGCTTCCCACACCTCACCGCCACGCTCCCACGCCCCCTTCATTCTTTTGTTCAAAAGAAGACCCACACCCTGTTGTTTGGCAGTCTGCTGCCCCGAGTAGAGGACTGTCCACCCCTCATGGTGGCAGGAGCCAGAGCCGGTCCACCGGACCTCCTGAATGCCGCATAGATCCAGGCGGTACCGGTCCAGCTCCCGACAGAGGAGTGGCAGCCTCTCCTCTGCAGTGAGCGTTCGAACATTCCACGTGGCCAACCGTAGTGGCTTTTCGTTGTTTCTGGAGTAGCCCCGAGGGTAGGTATTCAATCTCCTGGCTCCGCCAATTGGGGTTTGGCCAGGAGACGTCATAGACGCCTGGCCCCCCGGGGCCTCCGGCACAAGCTTAGTTGTTACATATTTCAGTTTAATTCGTAGTTTCGTGGTAATTAATTGAAGGTGGAGGGGTTACCAGCCCCTCGCACCCGTCCAGAGCCCCCGTTTAGCCCCTGTGGTGGACACATATGCCATGAGGGGAGGAGCCAATCAAAATTGGATCTCCCCCCACAGCGCTGTCCACGACAGAGTTGCCCGTCCGGCACCGCGAGGAGGTAGGGGGTTGTTTTGCCGGACACACAGACACACACACAGACACACACACAGACACATACACAGACACACACACAGACACATACACAACGCGCTAACCACTACACTACAATGCGTTACGCTTCCACACAGACACACACACAGACACATACACAGACACACACAGACACACACACACGCACAGACACATACACAGACACACACACAGACACACACACAGACACATACACAGACACACACACAGACACATACACAGACATACACAGCGCGCAAACCACTACACTACAATGCGTTACGCTTCCACACGCGCAGGTCACATGACAGATTTGACGTCACAGCTCACTTGGCGTGCAAAACTATGCATTATTGAGCTCCCCCTCCCCTCCCCAAAAAAATAAAAAGTGTATTTTTAGAATGTTTGCATGGTGTACAGTCTGGAAAGTACCCACATGGAAAATTTCAAG